TATTTATATATATTTTTGTTGTTGTTTCTTTCATGTGGATAAAGAATATTTATTGAGTATCTACTGTGTGATTTTCCTTTCACCATTACATCGGGTAAAAAACAAAAAAACTCAGCATGATCTCTGTTCTCATGGAGTTTATAATTTTATTAATGATGACATGAATAAAGGTATAATTATAAACTGAGATGAGTGCTATGGGGCAGAAATTCAGCACCATGATATCATGTAAGTGGTGAACCTGATCTTGTCTAAGGGTTAGGGCAGGCTTCACTGGAAAAGTCGTGTTTGAGCTTAGGGACAGGGTGTGGTGGAGCGATCATCATTTCAGGATACACGAAAGAGCAAACAACATGCAGTTATTTGTTCCTGGACAGTGGGTTTCTTAAAGTCAGATTTAGATAAGATCATATTTAGATAATCATAGATTAATTTACTCATATTCTTTGTACTCAGCACAGTGACCAGGCTCATCATAGACACTCTTAAATATTTGTGGACTGAATCAAGAAACCCCTATGACTCTCATTCACCTTGACAAAAAAAAGTATAAAATGTCTACTTCTAGGAGTAAGGAATATAAAGCACCTGAATGCATAGGAAGAATCAATCACTGGGGCCGGGTGCAGTGGCTCAATCCTATAATCCCAGCACTTTGGGAGGTCGAAGCGAGAGGATTGCCTGAACCCGGCGAGTTCGAGACCAGTCTGGGCAACTTGGCAAGACCTCACCTCTACAAAAAAAAAAAAAAAAAAAGAAAATGTAGCTGGGCATGATAGCGTGCACCTTTAGTTCCAGCTACTTGGAAGGCTGAGGCAGAAGGCTCGCCTGAGCCCAGTGGGCCAAGGCTGCAGTGGCCGTGAGCGTGCCACTGCACTCCAGCCTGGGAGACAGTTAGACTCCAACTCAAAATAATGATAATAATAATTGGTTGCCTTTATTGATATTACTAGTATTATCACCTTACCATTTGCATCTATTCTCTCTGGTGGCAGAAATTGTACTTTATTTTTTAATATCCCAAGGTTCTTAGCTGTGTCTTGCATAGAATAAATTATCTGTAAAAATTGAGAGCATAAACAACATTCTCCATTAAGAATTACATTGGCAGCTTAAAGAACTTGTGAGCCTTGAGAAAATAAATTAGCAAAGCTAAGTTAACTATCCTCTGTAGGGAATACTTCATTTCTAGATTAGAGATAATATACATTTAAAAAAAAAACCTTTATGTAAAAGCCATAATATTATGTGGTGGAAAAAAAATCAATGTAGAGCAATTCATAGAGAATATCATGCACATAATTCTATGCACACAGCTTTAAAGCCACCCTCTCAGAGACCACTCAATATAATCAGCCTCTTTGCTCACCACATCTGATAGTTTTCCTTTTCAGTTGATTGATTGGTGATGGGTTGATTTTCAAGTTGCATGTCTAGGGGCAGCGATCTTGTCTGACTGTTCCCTTTCTGCATTCACAGCACCCAGGACTGCCTTTTGCACATAGTTGGTGGGCAAACAAATACCTGCTGAATAAAGCAGCAGATATGCAAATATATGCAAGTATACACCAATATACTACTAAATATATTATTTATGGATATGTGTATATACATTTGTAAAAATATAAAAGGGAATTGAAAGCATAAACAGGAATTTTCAGGGGGTGGGGTGTTAAGTAGGCAGGGTCTTGGAGAATGGGATTCAGCATGGTGATTGGAAGGAACTGTACTTATATCTGAAGTGGCTTATTTTTAGAAATGGACTAGGGCTGGACATGAGAACTCATGCCTGTAATCCCAGTACTTTGGGAGGCCGAGGCAGGAGGATTGCTTGAGTCCAGCCTGGGCAACATAGTGAAAAAATAAAATGGACTTCTGTGAAGTCTTTTCTGCATTAAAATTGATGCAGGGTTGGGGTTAGGATTATAAAGATTATTCAATAGCAAATGTATTTTCTGCTCGTAAATGAAAAAGCAAAACAAAATAACAATTTTAAAAAGACTAGAAGCAAAAGATGAAAAAAATATTAACTATTTTGGTGATGGGAAATTGAGTGTTTGTTATATTATTCTTTACACTTTTCTATGTCTTTTACATTTCTCAAAACAAATTTTTTAAGAAATAGAAACTCTCAGTGGAGAAGAATAAATTAATCCCTTGTTGTTTTACAGGATCTAAGCCTCCCTGAAGTGTTGTTACCTACACCTAATCATCACAAAACTTTTGAGGTAATTATTATCAGGCTTATTTTTTTCTTTATTTTAAAGATGTGGGGTGCAATTCAGGGTTAGGTATACAAATGTTCATTATGCAGGTACCCTTGTGGATGAAGTGTGCCCCTCCCTCCCCTGGCAGTTTCCCACTACTATGTCGGGCTTATTTTATATAGAAGGAAAATGAGACCAAGATTTATTAAGAATTTGCCGTGAACACCAATCAAGTGAAGGTAATATTTGGCTGAGAATCTGACCTAGGGATAATTTCTCTTTTGAGAGATAATGTAGTCATTCTTCATATATGAGAGTTAGATAAGAGGTAAAAAGAAATTAGCTTTGAGGCCTATAGGCAAGAGACCTGTAAGAATTAAATCTAGGCCGGCTCGGTGGCTCAGTCTGTAATCCCACGCTTTGGGAGGCTGAGGTGAGTGGATTGTCTGAGCCCATGGGTTTGAGACCTGCCTGGGCATCTTGGCGAGACCTTATCTCTACAATAAATAAATAAAAAAATTAGCCGGGTGTGGTAGCGCGCGCCTGTAGTTCTGGCTCCTTGGAAGGCTGAGGCAGAAGGATCGCCAGAGCCCAGCAGGTCGAGGCTGCGGTGGCCAGGAGTGTGCCACTGCACTCCAGTCTGAGTGACAGAGTGAGACTCCAACTCAACAACAAAAAAATTAAATCTAAACTGATGGAGAACAAATGAGCAAAATTTTTAATCCAAATAGAAAGTATGCTTCAAATGATCTTAGGCAAGTTGCTTAAACTCTTTAAGGCTTACTCTCCTCACCTGTAAAACAAGGTATCTGCCTGGTTTTTGTAAGGGTTAAATTTTATACTTTTTGGTAAAAGACACAACACAATATCTGACAATAAATGTTCAATATTTGTGTGTTTCCTCTTGGTTTCTTATGCTCCAACATATTATGCTGAATCATTGCAAATTGCCTTTTTTATGAGTTAAAATGGTTTGAGTATGAGCAATTTTGTGAGTTTCAAGCAATTACTCTATGAATGTAAGCTCTGAGACCACGATCAGCTGTCCCATCTCGAATTTACATGTAAGGGAAGGGCAGGGCAGACCAAAACTGGAATAAAACAGATAATTTTTCGGGGCCTGGGCTTGAGAGTCTATTTGCAAGTAGAAATAAAATAGGATTTACAAGTATATAAGGAGTAGAAGGAGAGTCCAATTGGCAGACATAGGTTTACATAATCAGGGTTAGGCAATTGCAAACAGGACAGCTGCTCAATGGTTTTGGCACTAAAATATATTGACCAGCTGAGATATCATTAATGCTTAACAATTTTGTCCTTATGACCATATCTTGGCCAATTAGTTTGCCTTTGACCACCAAAGGGTATAATTTATTCTGATGTAAATGGCACATGTGTATCTGTGTAGCTCTATTTGCATTGATGTATTGCATAATATACACTAAATATAAATGCATTCACTTCTTTGGAATATCATGTTAGATGGTGTGATTAAAAGGAATAGGATTAAAATATAAACTGATTTCTTTAAAAAAATAATTAGTCATCACTCTGGGAAACCTTTGCATGAGAAAGTAAAAAGATCCAAATAATTAAAGTAATTTTCAGAAATGAATTTTTAGAGAATTATTATATAAAAAGCAATCTGGCTGGGAAAAGCCAGTTCCGCACAATTTATGCATACAAATAAATACAGACAGGAGGAAAGCAATTGCTACAAGACAATGATTGAAGAACTCAAACAGAAAGCTACTTGTACAGTCAGAAGAAATCATTGGGCCAGTATCACAAGCGTATAAAGATATTTTAGAAATGCTTCTAGCTAGGTAGTCTCTCCATAGTGCATTTAATCATGAGATCAGCAAAACAAATGAGGACAAAATATAAGAGCATTTTACACAATGCTTCATACACTAAAGTTTAATGCATTAAAATACTCCAAATATTTTCAGAACTTGTAATTTTAACATTTGCCAAAAAAGTGTAATACAAAGTTTTATTCAATAGCAAAAAAGTCATTCAAACACAGAAATCTCACTACCTAATTCAAAATGCATGTTAATCAAGAATTTTGCTTGTAAATTGTTTCAATTTTAAATCATTCGCAGTTTATTTAATTCGACATCTACTGACTTTTAAAAATTATTTTTACTGGCATTTCTAGATTAATCTTGAAACTTGGGACTGGTCATATACCAGGGTGCCAAAGAAATGTATACACGTTTTAATCAATGTTAAGAGATGTCTACCATAAGCAGAAGTGTCTGGACACTGATGGTAACCACTTTGAGCACCTCTTGTTACTGCAAAAGTCAAACATGACTTTTATTTATCTAATTGAGTTTAACAATTTTATTACAGTTTTTTCCTTTCTTAAAATGTGTATATATATTTTTGGCACCCTCTGTATTTTTTCCTTCCTCGCAATAAGTATTTATTTGGCTACAGATGATTGTTCCTCTTCCCTACATAAACTGCTAAAAGTAGCATCAATGTTCCTTCTTCAAAGTCAGAGACCTGATAGCAAGACCTTTATATGAGGAGTATAAAATAAAGAGTCATCCAAGAAAGTCACTCCTTACATCCAAAGAAAGACTTACTCATCTGATAGAAATAAAACTCTGCCTGAATATTGCAAAGGAACTCAAGAATAAGGAATCCTTTCTAATAATCCTATTCTTTCTTTTTTCTTTTCTCTTCTTTCTTTTTTTCTTTCTTTCTTTCTTACTGGTGATTTGCAAACTATTAAAGAAGTCCATTTTTATGGTCTAGTTTATTTCTTTCCCTTCTTTCGATGGAGGGCTTTTACCAAAACTTGGAGAAAAGATCATGGAATATTAGTAGTCAAAAAGACTTGAGCAATCATCGAGTTCCTCATTTATTAATGAAAAACTTCAGGTGGAAAACACTTGTACAACTTAACATTCTATGGCCAGTTAGTGGCAGAGCTGAGACCGGGTCCCAAACATGTACCAATAACTAGACAAACACCATTTCCTCTAAATTGTGCTATCTTAAAACTACTTTTAAAGCCACATTTCCTTTAAAATATTATGTACCCAATTAGCATTTTCAGGCTGAATAATCAGCATCTTTGCTGTTGTGGTTCTGCATTTCAAAGGTAGTAGCAGGACAGCCTTTTAAGTTGAAACTCCTGGGATAAAGGAATCCTGAGGGGCAGCTTGTAGGAGGTGTCCATCTCCATGCTCTGTCTTCACCTCACACTGGCACTCCTCCACCAGCATCACCACCTTGACCACGGGGGCAAGGCCAGTGCAGTTCAGCGGCAAGTGTATTGTGGTGAACTTGGCAGGAGAACAGTGGGAGCAGAAGGTATGTGGGTGCTGTGCAGCTCCAGGAAAATGAGCAGACCCGCATTTTCCAAAGCAAAGGTTGTTCTGGACAACTACTTTTTCACAGTCTTCATGGGTGATCATCTAAAAATCAAACACATTTCCACTACGTTATCTTGAGTCATTTCTTAAATACGCATAATGTGGAAGCTATACTTTATAAGACTGAAGATAATTTAGGACAAAATTTCCATAGCTTTCCAATTTGGATACATTTTGCAACATCCAAGTGATGGTATTTAGGAGGGCATACAGCCACATCAACTAAGCTTTCTTTACTGAGTCAATTTTTTTTTTTTTTTTTTGTTGGAGTCTCACTCTGTCATCCAGACTGAAGTGCTGTGGCCACTCCCGGCCACCGCAACCTCGACTTGCTGGGCTCTGGCAATCCTTCCGCCTCAGCCTTCCAAGTAGCTGGAACTACAGGCGCGCACTACCATGCCGGTTAATTTTTTGATTTATTGTAGAGATGAGTTCTCGCCAAGTTGCCCAGGCAGGTCTCGAACCCACGGGCTCAGGCAATCCACTCACCTCAGCCTCCCAATGCGTGGGATTACAGGCTGAGCCACCAAGCCCGGCCCTGAGTCAATTATTAAAACAACCTTAGGAAATCCGTAAGTTAACATGAAGACATTTTACTCTACACTATAAATGCCAAACTTTCAGAAGTTTTATCTAATCGGAGTGATCAGTTGAAAAAAATTCTAATGGCAGTTGTCTTCTTCTTCTTCTTTTTTTCTTTTTGAGTCAGAGTCTCACTCTGTCACCCAGGCTGGAGTGAGGCGATATGCTCACAGCTACCACAGCCTTGACCTGCTGGGCTCAGGTGATCCTTCTGCCTCACCTTCCAAGTAGCTGGAACTACAGGCACGCACCACCACGCCTGGCTAGTTTTTTTTATTTATTGTAGCGACCAGATCTTGCCAAGTTGCCCAGGCTGGTCTCGAACCCCTGAACTCAGGCAATGCTCTCACTTTCCAAAGTGCTGGGATGACAGGTGTGAGCCACTGCACCCGGCTGACAGCCTTCTTGTAAAAGTAATGTGCCCTACCGTTTTACTCCTCATAGTGTATTGTACATAGTCGGTTCTTAATACATATTTGTTCACTTGACAATAGATCAGAAGCTTCTAAGTTTAATGCTCTCCTATTTGGTGGAGCCCAGAGTGCATTCAGAGTTACGAAATCATGCTGCAGATTTGCAACACATATGCCTGCAAATCATCATTCAGAACACCACCTGCACCTCTCACAACTCCATACACAGAGCTTTATGTGCCCTTCCGAATATATAGGAGTCAGAAGGGCTTGGTGGTTCAGCCTGTAATCCCGCGCCTTGGGAGGCTGAGGTGAGAGGATTGCCTGAGCCCGCGGGTTCGAGATCCGCCTGGGCAACTTGGCGAGACCTCATCTCTACAATAAATCAAAACTCAGCCGGGCATGAAAGAGCGCACCTGTAATTCTAGCTACTCGGAAGGCTGAGGCGGAAGGATCGCCAGAGCCCAGCAGGTCAAGGCTGCGGTGGCCAGGAGCGGCCACTGCACTCCAGTCTGGGTGACAGAGTGAGACTCCAACGCAAAAAATACACACACACACACACACATATATATATATAGAGAGAGAGAGAGAGCGAGAGAGAGAGAGAGAGAGAGAGAGAGAGAGAGAGAGAGAGAGAGAGAGAGAGAAAGAGAGGAGTCAAACACCTTAATTTTAATTTAATTGGCAATAGAATTCAAAGTAAGAATTTCAAAGGAAATTTGATGGTCTGATCCTTAAGAGCAATTTTCTAATTGCACATGGGCCAACAGCACCATAATTATTATTTGATAATTGACTTGTCATTGCTGCATATCCTTCCTTTTTCAGGCAGAATATTTAAGTGCCTTGCATGGTCAACTGCCTTATAATATTGTTTGCTTAATTGGGGAGCATTACTGGACTGTAAAATTTTACTCTGTCCCACATTGGTTTTGATTCAATATCTTCATGTTTCAGGGTCTAATGCAAGGTCTCCATTTTAATTTAATGTTTGGAATATTGGTATGGCCAGGGTTGGAGGAAGTAGATAGTAGAATTTCCCTTTATGATCTCACTCTGCCATCCAGACTGGAGCTTTGTCTTATTTATTTATCTTTATGTTGGAGGTGATCTATCCAGAGAGATGAGTAAGACTGTGCCCCCAGTTAAGAAACTGGAAATTTAGAGTATTCACCAAAACTGCTCCGACAGCTACATTTGTGTACACTATTAAGTTGTGGGCGATGAGGTCAACTTGGTCTGTTGCTAAGGTGAGGTACACTGGAGGCACTGGCACAAGCATGGCTCATGGCAGCCTTGAATGCCAGGGCTCAGGTGATTCTCCCACCTCAGCCTCCTGAGAAGCTAGGACTACATGTATGTGCCATCATGCCCAGCTAATGTTTGTAGTTTTTGCAGCCCTCACTATATTGCCCAGGCTGGTCGTAAACTTCTGAGCTCAAGTGATCATCTGGCCTCAGTCTCCCAAAATACTGCAAATATACGTGTGAGTCACCACTCCTGGCCTGCCCTTTATCTTTATAATGTGGAATTGATTGTGATATCTACAAATCAGCCAACCCAACGTGAATCAGGGGGAAAATATTTCTAAGGGGAGAAGATGTGACTTCATATCAAGATTATATTTTGAATGCTTATAAGAAAATAAGTTAAACCAAATCTTTTTTTTTTTTTTGATATTCTAAAACAAGAAGTGATATAGCAACCCATACCTGAGAACCTCAACATACTTTGAGGTTGTGGGATAACCTTTTTAAAGTTGAATAGCTTTGACAAACTCTTTTAAAAGCCCTTCATAGGCCAGGCTCGGTGGCTCAGTCTGTAATCCCAGCACTTTGGGAGGCCAAGGCAAGTGAATTACCTGAGCCCGTGGGTTCAAGACCAGCCCAGACAACTTGGAGAGACCTCGTCTCTACAATAAATCAAAAATTAGCCAGGCCTGGTAGCGCACGCCTGTAGTTCCGGCTACTTGGAAGGCTGAGGCGGAAGGATCAACGGAGCCCAGCAAATTGAGGCTGCGGTGGCCAGGAGTGTGCCACTGCCCTCCAGCCTGGGAGACAGAGACTCCAACTCAAAAAAATAAATAAGTAAATTAAAAAAAAAAAAAAAGCCCTTCATAAACCTATGAAGGAGTCGGGTGTGACAGGGAATAAGATCATCATAAATGAATGTGAGGATTCTTGGAAAGGAGTCCAATGTACCTCGCCTTATCGATCGGCAAAGTTGACCTGATCACCCTTAACTTAATAGTGTACACAAATATAGCTAATGGAGCAGTTCTGGTAAACACTCTAAATTCCCAGTTTCCTAACTGAGGGTACAGTCTTATTTTATCTCTCTGGATATCTCACCTCCAACATAAAGATAAAAAAATAAAACAAAGCTCTGTGTCATCAATGTGATTGATTACTGATATTGACATTAACATTCTTGCAACATTTCCAGAATGGCAAGAAACAGTGGGAAAGTCAGAAGGAAATGGAAACTTTACCAAATCCTTTGACGAATGCCTGTGGATATCGGGAGTTAGATGAGACTCAGGCTCCTGACAGCTTTATTCCCTCTCTCTGCCTGTCCCAGCTGACCACCCGTTCCTGCAAACCTTTATCCTCTCCTCTCAGAACACAAACCTGGCGGAAGGGCACTGTCCTGCAGGTCTCCCAATGTACTTCATGGCTTTTGATGGGCAGGATGACCCCCTGGGAAGCAGGACTTTTTCTGAATATGAAGTGGTGCCAGAATTTCTTTGCTTCTTCCCGAAGAGGCGATTTCTCCAGTTTCCTCTCATCTACCGTCTGGTTGAGGGCTTGGGTTCCAGCTGGAAAGTGCTTACCCTCTGAGTCCCTGGGTGGGCGCAGCTCTCCCTCAGGCTTCTTCCAGAACCTGCCAAACCTGGACAGCATCTTCTCTCTCTGCCTCTGGCCTTCCCTTACTGGGCTGGTGCTTATTAGATGTGGCACAGCGACAAACAGATCTGGCTTCTCAGCATCCTCGTGATTCCCCGTGGGCAGCTCTCTTCGATTCCTTTCCAGGAGCACAGGGGGAAAGGAACACTGATTCTGGTGGCAATCCTGGTGCCTTGCGGCCTTCCCTAGAGGCAGGAGCACCAGCAGCTGAAGTAAGAGGAATTGCATGCTGTCGGGGGGGCCCAAGCTTCTCAGACCCGCAGATGGAGAGGCCCAAAGTAAGGCTCACTCTGCAGGACTGGGCGCAAGGAAATCCTATATATGGATAACTGCCTGGTGGGATGGGAAGGCAGGTGGTCAGTAACAAGGCAGAGTAAACACATTTATTGTTTGCTTGAATTATGTAGTGCTAATGGCTTTCTGCCTTTACTTTGCTTTTGTGTGTTTTAGAAGGCCCCAGTGAAAGCCTGGAGCCCAGGGGGTAATTAGCTGACAGTTGAGCTATGTCTGAGATTTAAAGAGCAGTATTAGCAAAAACAACACATTCTTTGCCCGGATTTCCCATCGCTGTTGTCAGAAGGTCTGGAGTCAGCTCACATTTGCTGTGTGTATCTGCATGTGCTGAGATAGAATAGACATGTTTTGATGTGAGATGTATATCGGATAAAAATGAAAGGCATACAGTTTTTAAGAATTCTATTCACACACACAGGGCCAAAGAAGACGTATATCAAAGTCATAAGGGAGGAAAAGGAAGAGATAGAGAGGTTTTGTTTGTTTGTTTGTTTGTTTTTTGAGTTGGAGTCTCACTCTATCGCCCAGACTGGAGTGCAGCCTCGACCTGCTGGACTCCGGCGATCCTTCCACCTCAGCCTTCCGAGTAGCTGGAACTACAGGCGCGTGCTACCACGCCCGGGTAATTTTTGATTTATTGTGGAGATGAGGTCTCGCCAAGTTGCCCAGGCAGGTCTCAAACCCGCGGGCTCAGGCAATCCACTCACCTCAGCCTCCCAAGGTGCGGGTTGAGCAGGAACTCATTTCTCTTACGAACTGGGGCCGTTGATTTTTAACCCACTAAAGGAATACATTCTCCTTTTCCACACGTGGAAACTCACAATAAGAATCAATTACAGGGTGCTAAATTTCACAACTGGTCAGTCATCAGATAAACTCTTCCGGTTGTTCACGTATTTCTCAACAGGGTACAAAGAAATAGACTGACAGCTCATCAGGCTTCAGTGAGGATGGGAAATGTCTCCCTCAAGCCATTCTATTGATTTTCTTTTTCTTTAAACAAATAGCCAGACTTGAGAATGGGGATTCTAAACATCAGGTTTGATAGCTTTGGGCATGAAGCTGGCTGGTGGTCAGTTCCTTGCCTTACTGAATCCACATCATCTTCCCTTATTCGACCATAATTGATGACCCGGTGAGTTAAAGATTGAGGCAAACGTGAGTTTTCAGGAACCAAAGGAAAATTTGTTAAATGCCTCCCATTTAAAAAGATTATAAATCAGCCCAGAGTATGAGAAAGAAGCAAAGCCACAAAACTAAAACTCCAGAATTGAGTCAAATCAACCCACCACATGATTCAAACAGTATTTCCGCTGGGATTCATTGTGATACCTGCTTATATTTCTCTCCTTTTAATTTAATCACTATATTCCTTGCTTTCGGTAACATAACGTTTACTATAAGCTTTCCTTCCAAGAAGTGACCCACTGGAATCTTGTATCCAGGCATTTGTGTTGTTCTTGGTAGTTGTGCCTGATTGCTATGAAATAAAGCCACAAGTCCTTTTACCTACAACAATGGGCTATTTTTAAATGGACCATCATTTTACCAGAATTCTATGAGATGATATATACTTTACTTGTGCAAAATATCAAGCCGGGCTCGGAGGCTCAGCCTGTAATCCCGCGCCTTAGGAGGCTGAGGTGAGTGGACTGCCTGAGCCCGCGAGTTCGAGACCCGCCTGGGCAACTTGGCGAGACCTCGTCTCTACAATAAATCAAAAAATTAGCTGGGCATGGGAGTACGCGCCTGTAGTTCCAGCTACTTAGAAGACTGAGGCGGAAGGATCACCGGAGCCCAGCAGGTCGAGGCTGCGGTGGCTGGGAGC